ACCGAAGGTAGGCAGGACAGCAGTGAAATGCTTCTAGAATGGTAGCTGTGACAGTCTATAGTTTATTGTATCCAAAGCGACCATAGTTTTTGTGATAACTGAGCTGTGTTGGCAAATCACAAGCCTGTTTGTTTCTCCTTGAACACGTGGGGTCTGTATGGGTCACTTCTCTGTTTCTTCTCCTAAACTTATAGATCTCCCCACAATTGCAATTCTGTGTTCCCCTTCTCCTTCCTCTTGCCATTTTTGCTCATTGGCTTCCCTCCTCCTCCATTTTCTTGCTCTCTGAAAATAAACATGTGGAGATGTAGATCCACACTGTTCCTAGAAAGGAACAAAGCCATGAACTCAAGCATGAAGTTTTCCTCTTTGTTTCTTTTCACAAAGAAACATTCAGGGGTCTCATTGTCCTTTTTCCAAAGGCGGGGTTGAGACTGAGCAGATCTCACCATACGTTTCTCCGCACTGAAAGGGAGTAACCAAACCTCAACCCCTCCAATACATGGAAGCAAACCCAGTTTGGCTCAGATGTCCTGTTTAATTTGCCACCCTGTTGGTTCAGACAGCTGGCTTGCCACTGATTTGTTCCCAGGGCACCCTCTGCAGCCACTGGCCAATATCCTCAATATAATGGCTAAAAACATTTTAAATAAATAAATAAATACTGTCCTAGAAATGTAAGGGCAATAGCATTGCCATTCCCACCCCTCAATTATACAATCTCTATTAAACGCAACATAAAAGGGGGAGCCTGCTGGATTTGGGAGTGAGAGGAGCTGAGGCCATCATCTTTCCAAGATTATGTAAATCAACCCTTGACTTTAAAGAAAGAGAATGAGATTAAAAAGGCCAAAGTAGTTACTGCATTCTGCAGTTCTCTCATTAAATGCCGTCTGCTTTTCACCCTGGTGAGGTCTTCTCTTCTTTTCCCCAAGTTCCTAGGAGGTGAATTGGTTCTATCTAGAAGGGGCTGTGATTTTGCATTCCTCTTGAAAATGCAGAATCGATTTTTTGTTGTTGCATACCAATGATGGTAAGCTCCCCTGAGTCCGACTGGCGAAAGTGAACAGTACCCTTGCTGCCTATTGTCTCATCCAGGCACCTTATGGCGTTTCCTCCAGCATTCCTTTTTTGCGGTTGGCAGAACGTGTACCAGTTTCAATCATTTAGATAAGCATCTTTAACTTTCACCCTTGAGAGAGTTTGATTAATGTGTTAGATGTCCTTTGGGCAAGAATCGATACAAGAACTCTTGGGTTTGTTGGCGAACGGGAGTTTTCATCCAGTTCCTAGAAAATTATTCAAGGTTTTTATTGCTCTTTTCCCCCCCAGAACAACAAAAGTGGGTCAATCTTTGACTCCCATTCACCCTCTCTACCCAGCCTTACCCTCCTGCACTTTCCGTGAGAACTTTGCACAGACATCCGTGTCTATGAGGACTTCGCTTCAGTGGCATTCAGGGCAGGCCTTTCATACTGACAGGCACACAGAGACATGTGGGAAACTTCTGCTTGAAGGTTGTAGCTGCATTCTGTTCCAGTGATGTGCATACACTCCTGGCAGGAAGCGGCAGCTGCCAGCAGGCAAGGTAACCCCTTCTTCGGCCCTTTCGCTTAGAGGTAGAGCATAAGATCAAAGGGTTATTTCAGCCAATCCTGGTTATGATTAGGTAACGAGTATCCTATCTGTCTCTCTCACAAACATACTATGTAATCATGCTAAGTAAATAAAAGAGCTCTCAGGGCGTTGCCTGTAGGCTCCGCTGGCTTGGACACCCATTGTCGACTCCTTTGTTCTTTCTCTAAGGCAATTAACCTTCCTTTGTTCCACAATCACCCACATTGATGAACAAAACAAACATACCACAGAGGGTGATCATAGAGGATAGGGCAGACATAAGGCAAAAGCAGAGCTACGATGAGACGCCTGGAGCTTTGAACCAGGGTTCCAAAATTTAACAGGGCCAAAAGTTTGCTGCTGCTGCTGCTGGGAGGGCATGATTCTGCCAACCAGTATTTGCTTCTGGAAGGGCATAAATCTGTTCACCCTGGGCACATCTATGAGCCAACAGTGCAAATCCTATTTTAGGCTGCATTAACTAGAAGTACAGTCTCCAAATCCCAATAATTAGTTCCTCTCTATTTGGCATCGGTCAGACCTCATATTGAGAACTGTGTCTAGTGTGAATATGTTTGTGTCAGGGGACCACAGAGTAATTGGCAACAATTTTGCCCTTAAGAGTTTGGTATAAAAATTCCAACCATGCTGCAAGGAATGGTACTTGAGACCTCATCCCCAAGGACTTTTGAAACCTGAGTCTGAGATCACCTCTCACAGACATCTACCATTAATTTTTGGACTCTTACCTACAATTTTTCTGCACTATCCACTAAGCAGTGGTGCTTTTTGGGAAGTGGGATTCCTCCATAAAAGCTTGCAATTTGCATGTTGCTTTCAATGGTCCAACAAAAGGTATCACCCACTCTTACATTTACATTCAGTTGTGGACACCACACATTGAGAAGGATGCTGACAAACTGGAACCAGTTCAGAGGAGGGCAACAAGGATGGTCAGGGGGCTGGAAACCAAGCCTTATGAGGAAAGACTGAAAAAATTGGGCATGTTTAGCCTTGGGAAAAGAAGACAAAGGGGTGATGTGACAGCGCTCTTCAAATACCTGAAAGATGTCCTTTGGATGGTGAGTGCTCCAACACTGGAGACATTCAAGAGAAAATTAGACAAGAGAATCAATATTGCCATCATCCTCTCTGACCCAGGTGTTCCTCTCTAATTACCTCTCATTTCCCTGCATAGGCTACTCTCAAATGACCCAAGCTTAACCAATAGGGAAATATAGCCCAATGTACCAAAGTTGCTACCTATAGCTTGGAAGAAAAGCAGAGCATCCATCATTAGAGCTGAAACTCCAACCTCAGCAACCATTACCTGATTTTAAATCAGTCTTTCCTATTGTGCAATGAGTGCACTTGATGGTCTTAGATTAGGGACTAGGTGTAATATTCCTGAGATGTATGTTTGTATCATAATTTTAGACACATCTACTCCACTTCTGAAAGTTGAGGATTTTCTGGGGTTTAATCATTCACAATGGACTAGTGCCCCCAAACTCTACACCCATAATGTACTGAGAACCACTGTAGTGCCATAGACCGAGTGATGGATAAGGAATCGGGAGACCTGGGTTCAAATCTCCACTTGGTCATGGAAACTCACTGGAGGATGTGGCACTGGTAAAGCCACTCCTCAAATATCTCATACACCTTGAAAACCCTATTAAGGTTGCCAGAGGTCTGCGGAGACTTGATGGCACCTTACACAACTGTGTCATTAGAAGGATACAGATGAAAACATGTAGTGTTTCTGTGACACAAGGTTAATTTAACATGATGCTCATATGCTTAAGAATAGCAACAACATCAATACATGAACAAACTCATGCTGCTTATTAGATCTGTAGAGAAGCAGTGGCATTCTGTGATTTCCTACAGTGACTTCTCTCTCTCTGTCTGTCTCAAATTGTGTATAGTATATCTGCCAACAAGAGAACGTTTTCTGCTTCTGAAGATATGGGCTCATGAGCAGAGGCTCTCAGACCATCCCTGTAGAAAGATATATGATTCTGTTTCAGCCACCAGTTTGTATACTGTATGTTAGGAGACACCATTTTCATTTTAGCACACAAGGCATCACTCCATTTGCTACAGACACTTTGCTTCCACCTTTCTGTTTCAAAATTAGAACCGTTCAGGAAATCTAGGAAAATGTGTAGAAGCAGCCACTCTAAAATGAATTGATTAACAGACAGACAGAGCAGCAGGTAAATATAAGGGCGAGCTACTCAGAAAAGGACAGGCAGTGGAATCAAACCATGGGCCAAACATTTGCTGAGTTGAGAAGGTGCCATCTAGAGGGGATAAAAGGCTCACAATGAGAGCTTCCATTTTATCTCCAGGCTTCCTTTCCTTTCCTTGTGTGGCAAAATCCAGGCTGTCAAGAAGACATCATGAAATGGATAAGGCTGTTGTAGTACCCGATCGTCCCTGAGGACCCAGGGATGTCCTAAGTCAAAGTCTTATGCCCCTAGATAAAATCAGAACAGCCTGCCATTCATGGATTGACACTGGACTTGTTAGCCCTCAGAGTCATCAACCATCATCCCACTTGCAAGGCCGATTGCCCTCATGGGCCATCCGAGCTTCAAAGGCCTTGTCTTCACCTGTGAGGTCCAGGCTTAGCTGCATCACTGGATCAGTGAATAGCTGATTTTCTTCTTTTGGATTAAATTAGTAAGGAGGCCTTTCTTCTTCCATACTGATCTTTGCAACAGATGGAGCATTAGTCATCACACCCTTTCTTTGCCCATCTTATCGCTCATCTGATTTTCCTTCCCTTCCTAAAACAGTAATTTAGCATGTACTCTTACTATTGTGTGTGTGTGCAAACTAGATTGTATGCTTGTTGTTTGTTTTTTTGACCAAAGTTTCTCCCACCCAGTGAAAGAGTTTAGTTTGTCATAGCAAATGATTTACCCCACCTACATACTTTGCATTTGCAATGCTCTATTTTGTGATTGGTCACTGAAAGGTAAACACAGGCTTACTTTGGAAATTTAACCAGTCAGGCATATAACTCAGAGGAAATCCAGTTGCGTGAGGAAAAAATGGGTTGATTGTAGTGAATACACTTAATACCTTATTTTGTCAGTCGAAAACAGCCTGTTCTTTTGCTTATAACAGAGTGTTAATCATACATACTTATTTATCCTCTTTTCTGAGTTCGGTAGGCTTGTGTAAGTGCAGGATTACAGCCCAAAGAGTTTTGCTTGTCATCTTAAGCAGACAATGTGGTGTCTAGCTCAGTGCTTGTGAGTTCAGATAATTATAGGCTAAAGCGTGAATATGAAGTCTTCATCAGATAAAAAAAATTATGAAACTGTCTGTGTTAGATTTTATTTTATTTTTTAAATTAATTATTCAGGCATATAGTAGTGCAATTTAAGGGCTATTATAAAATACATTTTAAGGATACAGGAGCTCCCTTTTCTTCACTGACTAGAGTACTCTTTTTCAATATGAGGAGTGTGCTTCTTGTAAAATGACAATTAAAATCTTGGTCTCTCTCTTTCTCAAAAAAAAATTGAAGCCATTTATTCATTTTTCTTCTGGACTATTCTCTAGTACAAGGATAGGATCTGTTGTTTTCTTCTTCCCATGACAACATCCAAAGTCCAATTCCACATCCACATTTCTGTAGTTTACTTGGCATTCATTATGGCAACTGCAGAAAACCAAGCCCAGAAGACAATGATATATTTGGGGGAGGAATAAGATTTGTAAGTGACATGACTTTGAAAGCAGCATACTGTCATTTTCCCACAGTTGCCCCAGGTATCGGGAGCTGGCAGAAGATAAATCCAGATCTGCTGGTAGATATTTAGATGATTTGCAATGCATGCTTGCTGTTGGAGTCAACGCACAAAATAGGACGGGACAGAAAGGCCAAAGAGCTAGGCCTGTAGACAAGGGATTGCCCCTTTAAGGCTTTCTATCCTTTAAGAAGTGGTTGAGTCCTAGAAGGAGTAATCCACCCCAAGAAGGATACAAGGCTGCAGTTAATCTCCAGTGACCTTCTTAGAGACAGTGGCCAAAACTAGAACTGTCCAGGGTCCTGAAACTCTAGCCCAGCCATACTACCACCCTTTCATGACGCTGAAGTTGCACACCTGTGTATTCCCAATTTTCAGTTCATTTGGCTGAAACTTTGAAACACAGGTCACTCATTGGGATGGAACAAATAATCTGAGGTTCATCATGACCCTGCACTGTAAATGAAGCAGGATCAAAACTACATGAAAGATTTTTTATTTTTTTTTTTAAAAAGAAGAAAACCCAACCTTTTCTATATAATTTTGTATTTGGGGGAAATGCAAATCAATGTAAAATTTATGACCACAGATATCAAAAATATCTAACACATTGCCCCTATATTTCAAAATAAATTGTGGGATCTCCTTAGATCATACCCTTATTCATCCAGGATAGTGTTCACAGAGAGACAGAGATACAGTAATGTGTTCTGATTCAAAGCCATTTCAGTCTGCAGTGCACTATTAGCATCTGCCAATGATAGGCATAAAAGGCCAAAGGACTGAAGACACAATGTTCTGGACTCCGAAACAAGCTATCAGCCACCAAATATCTGAGCTGTTTTGATGTTTTGGACGAATGAGGAATTGGGACCTAGGTATAAGGATACGACTCCAACACTGTCACCTTATTCACTGAAACATTTTGGGCCACCCACTAATCATCTGTTGACAATTACTCACCAGTGACAGGCAAAACCAGTGACTGCCATCACAAGAAGACTGACTGCGTAATGCCAAAAGAAGCACATGGTTAGGAAGTTTTCGTTTCCAACATCTGCTTGATCCCAGACGTGACCCAATCCCCATGGTGGGTATAGAACAAATCCAATCTGATGGAAGCAAGGTACAGGTTTGTTATCTTGAGTCCCAAGAGTGCAACAAGGAATCCTTTCAATGCCAAAGTAACAAAAATGAAGCACAATGGGACCCATTCTGCCTAATTTTGTGAAGGGGACAAAGAGAAGCTGGGTGGAGACATTCTGAGAGAATGTCTCTGAATTCGCATGCTATTCAGTAAGAAGAGAGAATCCTGACCTCCCACAACTGGTATTAACCATTTAATTATAAAGAGTATCTTGAGTTTCTGCTATCCTACCAAGTTACAAACTATTTTCTCCAACAAAAATGGAGCGGGCTGGTGACGTTGACTTCAAAATACTTGCTCTGGGTCTCCATCTGAAGTTTAAAGGTACAATCTCTTAACCTACGTATTTTAGGGATAGAGGTCAGCCCCTTGACTAGCTCATGTAAAACATGGACTGAAACGCCAGGACAATTTATTGGCTTCATGAAAATGCAGTCATTAGCCACCGCTAAACAGCGATAATGTTTGAGTGAATCCATGGACTAAGTCCAATTTTAGTCTCCACTAGAAGACAACCATAGAAATAAGGTACCTGTTGGTCAATACTAGTATAAATCCCACTGATTTTAATTCATCTTTTTCTAATTGGTGCCAAAACTGGACTACACATGCAGCTCATTCGTGCTTAGCATCATGTCTAATTTAACTCTTGAGACAGCAAAAATGTACCCTCTGCCAGTGGAGTTCATCCTCTATATTTTTTCATGGCTTCAGTGGAATATGAGTGGATAGAGGGAAGCTAAAAAACAAAAACTTTCTGAGAGGCAGCTGGCAGCCTTTTGCTCCTTTAGAGTGGTCCAGTGGTGCCCAATGAAAATAAACGTAGAATTACCTTTCCTTGTCATATACTAATTGTGCTGGTCTCCTTTTAGAGGAAGTAACTGGACTGGGATGCAGTGGGCAGCTTCCTCTGTGCATAAATACTTTGGGTTTACAGCTATCCTAATTTGAATGCATTTCTCAGAGCCATTTTTATTCTGGGCCAAGGGACTGCAGAGTGTGATATCAGGGCTGGTTTTGGGACTTCCTCTTTGCCTCGGCCTGCTGAACAAGTGTCTCTTCAAAATGGGAAAGGCCGTGATGCACTGCCTGCCTCCAGGCTGAATGCTCAGATGTCAAGGTTTCCCATCTGTTGAGGTCCATTGCTAAGGCCTTCAGATCCCACTTGCAGACCTCCTTCTATCGCAGCTGCGGTCTCCCTCTGGGGTGCTTTTCCTGCACTAATTCTCCATACAGGAGATCCTTTGGAATCCGACTGTCATTCTCATGACAATCATTGGACTGATCAAATAAAGTAGAAAGACAAGCATCATCAGGTAAAGGTCTAAAAGGCTTGGACTGAGTTGCAGAGAGAACTTGATATATCCTAGCCTGATTTAAGCTTCTGAAAGATTCAAAAGGTTCCATTTTTATAGTATTTTAGTGGTTCAACAAAAGTACTGCCCAACCTTCAATTTTGGATTTTTCTGATGGATAACCTTCCTTCCTGCCTTCCTGCCTTCCTGCCTTCCTGCCTTCCTGCCTTCCTGCCTGCCTGCCTGCCTGCCTGCCTGCCTGCCTGCCTACCAGCCTACCAGCCTACCAGCCTACCAGCCTACCAGCCTACCTGCAGTTCGGCACACAACCTGGGGATCAGCAGTTTCTGAGTACAATGTTACCTCCAACATAATGCTACATCCAAGCTTTTTTCTACTTCCCTTTCTCTTTGGTCCTTTGATAGGAAGGCTACCAACCTGCCAGAACCAGGTTCCCTGGAGGATGAAAAGGCTTGCTCTGAAGAGCTCCAGGAGGGTGTGATCTCGCTGGAACACTTCCAAAAAGGCACAAAGAGCCGCTCCAAAGACTGCAATGCTTAGGAGGGAGTAGAGGTGCTCAGTCAGTGCAGCATCCTGGTAGTCATGGAAATAGAAGAGGAACCCTGCCAGGATCAAAAAAAAAAATCACTGCAGCAGATTTCTCAAGAGATTACAGTCAAGAACATTAGCAAAACTGATCTTTCCAGGAATCTTAAATCAATAAGCAAACGGAAGGCCGCTTCCATGTTCAATTGAGGTTTCCCTCTGCTTTCTATGTGCACTGTTAAAGTGGTGCCTCGCTAGACGGTTACCCCGCATGACAGTTTTTTCGCTAGACATTGACTTTTTGCAATCGCTATAGCGATTCGCAAAACAGTGATTCCTATGGGGGAATTTCGCGGGACAATGTTTGGTCCCTGCTTCACAAACCGATTTTCACTAGACAACGATTTTGACCGCTCCCTCCACGCTCACAAAACGGGTGTTTTCGGGACCTAAGCTTTGCAAGACAGTGATTTAAACAGCTGATCGGCAGTTCGCAAAGCGGCTTTCCTATGGCCAGTCTTTGCTAGGCAACGACGATTCTTCCCCATTGGAACGCATTAAACAGGTTTCAATGCATTCCAATAGGGAAATGCCTTTCGCTAGACAATGATTTCACTAAACAGCAATTTCAGTGGAACAGATTATCATCGTCTAGCGAGGCACCACTGTATAAAAATTCAGAGTAAGTCCCATGCCTCTCCTCCACCCATTTACCTTTCACTCAACCTGTTTCTGCAGTAGAGATGGATAATATTGCTGCACACTTCTCTAGTTCTTCATTTCACACATCTTAGGTTTGCCAGGCTTTCTCTGCATAATAGAAGCAAAACACCTGTCCTCCAACTTCATTACTAAAACAAAGCTGCCCCAGCCCAGAGGCTGGGCTCATCCCTTCCATGCAGAAATGACCAGATTTACTGTCTGGCATGTCAAAATAGAATGAAATCTGGCAGAAGGGCCATTGGCTGAAAAAAATATCTGACTCAATTTCTGTAGAGTTGCTGTTCAGTGTAAGCAAAACTGGGCTCCCAATCTGGGCTGAAGATCCCACCAGCTTTAGCCAACATGGCTAACGGTGAGGGATTATGAGATCTGCAGACCAGGGAAACCCTGGAGGTCTACATAGCTCTATCTAGGTGACCCCAGTAGGCACTAGGCAGTGCCATGACTTAGTAAAATGGGGTGCAGAACATGGACAAACTTCTTTTTCTTCCTTCCTTTTTTTTGGGGGGGGGGAGAGATGGTGACTGGTACCTTTCCCACACAACATGGTTGAAATAAACTGAGCAGAAACAATCATGTTGCAACCTTTCATGGTATTACAGTCCGTAGTAATTCTGAAAAAATGTATTTGTCTAAAATGTGCTACAGTCCTAGCTCATCTTAGAATCTTGGAATTACAGAGATGGAAGAAACCCTAAGGACCATCAAGTCAAGGAGGCACAGTGGGGAATTGAACTCCTAGCCTCTGGCTCTGCAGCCAGAGACTTAAACCACTGAGCTATCCAGAAGTTCTGGATGTGGGTGATGATTATATATTTGGGATCATACAATCCATGGGTATGAATGTCCAATACTTACTGGGCCTGTTCTTGTAACTACTAGTGACAAATGTCCACCCATTGATGAAAAATGTCCAGTCTTCCCTTCTTTGACCATGTGTGTAGAAAGACAGCTACTTGCAACATTTAAATCCAGCCAAATATTTGTACTTGACTGAGTTTTTCTTATTTATCTGTTGAAGTTTCACAGTATGGTGGATTGAGCTGAGAGACATCGTAGTCCTACTTGTACCTACACTAATGTAGGTACAAGTATCCATCAACAGCCTCTGGAGAAGCAGCTGAGCCCTAAAGAGAATTCCACTGAACTTTAGAATTTCAAGGTTAAACTTTACAGGTGAACTTTGTGGATGAAGGATAACAGATGATTTGCATTTGGTGCCTCAAGTGCAGCCAAATCCTTGTTTAAGTAGCCCAGTATGGTTTCAATGATGCATTGGACAATGCATTGACTCTAATTGCAAAAAGGCAGGAAACTTGCTCCCAGTTTTAGTGTGCACTTTAGATGAACTGTCCAATGTACTGACCCTGGAGCGGGTGGGAGAGAGGTCAGCACTTTGGATAGCTACTCTACAGTTCAGACTAGACCCGGTGTGGATTCATGACCTATTGCGCCACTGAGGTCACCCCCACCTGAACTGCACAGACAGGCAATGGTTCTCTAGGCTTTTACGCAAGGGGCTTCCCAGTTGGAGAGGTCAAGAACTGGGATCTCCTGAATACAAAAGCCTGTCTTCTGCCTGCCCTTAAGGCATGGAATGGCTCTGGAGGGGTTCTGTAAGAACATGTTGGCCATAAACAGACCATGTTTGCTGTTTGTGATATGAAAAGGTGTGCCTCTGGCTCTACATTCTGCTTCTACCTCTAGAACCGCCCTAAGCCAAATATGTTATATTTCTTCTTGGAAAGGGGTCATGAAACATCTTCATCTCCCAATTCTTAAAATGTGTAGTAGAAATGAGCTTATCCTTCTGGCCCATTTTGGCCAGAACAGGAACACGTTGGCACTCTTGACAGTCTCTGCAGCATACAAAGAGTTTGGGGCCAGACCAGATTCTGTGGCATTCTATGGGGCAACCTATACGTAGCCCAAAAACTTATTTTGGGATGTACAGTCCCGGCTCCTTCTTCTCTTAGCCTACTGTGGTTTACTGGAATGAACTGGCACACACCACAGTGCCCTGTGGTTACGAGCAGCTTTGGCTTGGCCAATATCCATTTCCTCTTGCAAGGGCGCTCTCTGGAATTCCAGGATAAATGATCTGAGTGTCTCACAGCTCAGTTTGAAGTACAGATATTTTAGTTCTTTTTTTGAGGTTGTCATCTAGGGCTATCATGCATCAACATGCATTTCAAGAAAAATCTTGATGGGAAAAGTATGTGGGAAGTTAAAAATGTTCTTTGAGGTCCAAGGGCACATAAATGTTGGGGCCTCATTGAGATGAATGACTGAGTTGTGTTTCAGTGCTTCACACAAATAAGGAGCTGGGAACTCAGGGAGAAAGGAAACAACTGCAGCATTGTGCAAGTTCGGCTGTGCTTGAGGACAACAAACAGGAACCAGGAAAACGTCCAGTTCTGTAATAAATTTACATAGGATTGCCACTCTGCGGACTATTTCTATGTCTGTGCTCAGGTGTCTATGTTAATTTGTTGATTAGTATGTACGTCTTTAAATTGTCTGCACAAAAAAACCACAAGTACTAAAATAAAATTTAAAAGCAAACAAATAGCTCTTTTTACAATCCATGGGGCCAAAAGCTGTGATCTTAACTGACTAGACTTGGCTAGAGTACAGTAAGAAAAATGAGTGCTGTTTCCCTCCAGACATTGTTTTCTGTCATTCCATGGCAAGTTCATTCATCTGGATGTCTTTTCCCTTAATTGCTGTTCACCACTAACCTTCTGCAAACAGTGCCAGAGACACTAGAAGGCTATCCAGCCCCACTGGCAACTTGAGAGGGGTGTACGCGAGCACATCCACCACTCCGGAAAAGCCATAGAATAGGTACATCGTCACATGGAGCCAATTCATCAGCTGCACCCATTCCTGCGTCTCATTGTCGTAGAGAGAGAGATGAGGTCCATCGGGGACAAATTGCTCGGCCAGTATCCCTGAAAGGCACAACACACATCTCAAAGATTCCTCTTCTCCCCTCAGCTGTCTTTAAATACAGGAAAAGGTCAGTGTCCTGCTCAGTGTTTATGTTCATAGAACTGCAGCTGGGGAAGCAGCTGCAGTGTTCTGATGAGGTGCTGGTTGCGTGTCTGGTCATGTGCAACTGGCATCTCTTTTCAAAGCTTCTGCAGCTGCAGCTCTGGATGCATATAAAGATGAAACAACTTAATAGTGAAGGACTATAAGAATCTCAAAAGTAGATGTCTCTTATTGGATATAGAAGAACAGAAATTACATCCCCAATATTTCATTATAAATACAAATTATGATGCCTTGTTGGGATCTCTGGATTGCAAGCGGATTGCTTAACAAATGTATCTCACTTGGATTTTTAATGATGTTTTGTCAGGCAAGAGTTACAGGAGAGCTAAATGTTTGTGGGTTTCATGCTCTCAGACTTGCCTTTTTGATGAAGTTGATTTTAAAACAACACCCTAGCCTAAATCCAGTGTTAGCCGAACACCAAGTACATCAGCTCCACTGAATCAACAAAACCCTGTTTACATCTTGATCTACGAAATGCCCATTGATTCAGTGGGCTTGTTCTAAATGGAATTATGAGCATGATTTAGGCTCTTTCTTTTAATGGAGAGCCAGTTTATAAAACTTGACAGCCTTCAAGTCATGTACCCCAGTTCTTCCCATTCCAACACTGTCTTAGCAATTGAGGTGGCAAAGCAAGTTCTGTATGGGAATGGTGACCAATGTTAATAACATAACCGTTTTCTTGTTGCTGTCACACTATCACAGGGTTGGAAGGGCATACCATCCAGACCCATCCAAAATCAGACTATTAGGGATGGGGTTTTTGTATTTCTTGGACTACAGATTCCAAAATTCTCCATTCTGGGAGCTCTGCCTGACAGACAGACACGTAAATGTGGGAGAAGAACCTCAGATATCTGCCTGACAGACAGACACCTAAATGTAGGAAAAGACCCTGAGATGGAAGGCTTTAAATTTCAGCTAGGCCTAGCTCCACCTAGTTTCCTGTTGAGAAAGAAAACTCCCAGCTAACCCTGGGGCAAGAACAGGAAGCTTGGCTGAAGCTAGGCATAGGCAAGCCTCAAAGCATTCCTGCTGAGGCCTGGCTCACAGGTGAGCCACATATGGGTGACTTTAAAGTATCTGTCAGATAGAACTCCCAAAATGGAGAATTATGAGGTTTGCAGTCCCTAGAGATGATCATGCCTGTGAAGCATGAAAAAGAAGAAGATATGAAAAAAAAATGTAGCAAAGTCGTACCTCCCAGAGCAAAGAATGCTTTGGCTGTTCCTTCTACTATATCCATGCACTGGATCAAGCCACCGGGTGGGCTGTCTGAGTTCAGCGTTCGAAGAAGGTACTTTATTGTATATTTTACAGACCACCACAGCCCAAGCATCAGGAAGAAGCTCCCTCGAAGGGCACTGCCAGTGAAACTCGGCATTGTTGCACGTGGACCTGAAAAGCAATAGGTGGATAACTGCTCAATAAGTTAATGGTGTCATCTGTTGCACAACCAAGACGGTGGAAAAATTTGTCTTCCCAATGACAGACCCTTTTCCTGTGTCTCCAAGATTAGGTAAATTAACACAACAGCAATGCAGGAAAGGCATGACGTGCGATCAGAATGCTAATGTAAAAAAAGGTAAAGGTTCCCCTTGACATTTAGTTCAGTCATGTCTGACTGTAGGGGGTGGTGCTCATCTCAGTTTCCAACCCATGGAGCCAGCGTTTGTCCCAAGACAGTTTCCGTGGTCACATGGCCAGCACGACTAGACACGGAATGCCATTTTCTTCCCACCATGGTGGTACCTATTTATCTGCTCGCATATTTACATGCTTTCCGATTGCTAGGTTGGCGGGAGCTGGGACAAGCGATGGGAGCTCACCCCGTCATGTGGATTTGATCTTACAACTGCTGGTCTTCTGACCTTGCAGCACAGAGGCTTCTGCGGTTTAACCCACAGCGCCACCACATCCCTTAATCAGAATGCTAGGGTTGTTGAAAATCTAGCTCATGTTCACACAGAAAAGGTCAAGAAAAGTACAGAATATCTTAACAGAAGGCAAAGTAATGTTAGGTGGAAAGGAGATGTACCGACCACTTATCTATACCAGGACTGAAATGAAAGGATCCAGTTTTGTAAATGACAGCACACTTTGAAGGCCATTCATTCATAGGATCACCATAAATTGGGGTTGACTTGACAACCCATAGCAGCAGCAGCAACAGTTCTTTGATGAGTTCATTGCTAGACTACTCCCTGCACAATAAAATGTCTGCACTTGGGTAACACATACAAAATTGTACGGTCATAGTGAGTGGAGAAACATCAGCTCTCCAGATGGTTTGGGCACTTCAACCAGACATGAAGGATTCTGGGAGATATAGTGTAAAAAAGGGGGGTGAATGCTCTCTTTCCCTTCATTATGACATCCTCCATCAATTATTTTGTTTTCAATAACCAGGAGACAGTACGGTCTAGTAGTTAGAGTTTGGGATTGGGATTGAAGAAATCAAGAGGGGTCACCCCCCCATTGACTCATTATTTCTGCACATAAAATGACTATGGTTGTGAATAGTGAGTTTATAGCAGGAACAGATTTGAACTCAGTGAGGGATACTTCTGCGTAGACACGTCTATGATTGTTCTGTTGGCTGTCATGCACATTAAAGTTCTCTGAAGAATAGAATTCCTAAGAACTGGAAGGGTTGTGTCAATGGAAGATTGCCCATAGTTTAGAAAGGCATAGGCAGTTTCATCACAGAAAGAAAACTGGTTGTTGCAACTGGGTCTACTCATATGTTTTCCACGCTCATAATTAATAGGGTGTGAGCCAACAACACCACTGGCTGTGATTTCCAAACTTTCTGCTTCTTCAGTATTTGACACCAGTGACATTCAGACTCACAAATGTTATTGACAATATAGTGGAAGAGAAACTAAATTGAGAATTAAAGGCGCATGCCTAGTAACTCCCTGGAAATATAGATGACTACCCAGATGTTTGCCAGGTTTTTGAACATATCACACCTCTTTTGTGGTACCAGGATGTTTCTGGGGTCAGTCCAAAGGGCCTCTGTCAGTCTTTAAAGCTGTAAACCTGGGGTGGGCAGTGATGATGAAAATCCTGTAGACCTGTGGGTCCCAGCCTTGGGTAACCTAAGTGTTCCTGGACTGCACATCCCAACTTGGGTAACCCAAGTGTTCCTGGACTACATGTCCCAAAAACCCCAGCCAGCATAGCTGCTGGTGAAGGTTTCTGGGAATTGCAGTCCAAGAACACCTGGATTGCCCAAGGATGGGAACCACTAGTCTAGATGCTGTTGTCTGCAACTCCCAAGGTAGCCATAGGTGAGGAAGGCTGGGAGTTGGAGTCCAGCAACAGATGGAAAGCTGTATTTTGCCCATCTCTGCCCTAGCATTCATGTGGCCAGAGCCTCAGCAGAGCAAAAGATTTCCTCACTGGGAGAACTGCTCGCAGCGGGAGAAATTACAAAAGAGATGTTGCAGGGAAAAGGGTGAAGCACCTCGGGAAAATAACTTTTCCTCATACTACTTGTTTGTTTTTTGGGGGGGAAGAAAAAGGAACTAGAAAGGTGAGTCAAGAATAGGAGACCTTGGCATATCAATGAATTTAGAGTCCTGGAAGACATAACCAGTAAAAATCCAGAGCGAAATGTAATAAAATCAGTAGTTGACGTAAGCACCCAGAAGTGACAAAACTCAACTCAGTCAATAAGAGTATCTATATGACACTGCTGTAGCACTTTGAGTCCAATCGGAAGTGTCACGACTTCATGCCCCAGAATCTTTGTTGTTTGTTGAGAATTCTTTGCTATTGTTCATGGCAGGGAATTCCAAATACTTCACCCTACTACAGATTTCCTAGGACAAGGACAAGATTTTTAAAGTGGTGTCAAACAGCTCTAAGGGCGCAGTGTCGATCCACGCTCTGTGTCCAGAATCCTCCTTTAGAGTTTGCCTAGCTTTTCATAGCTAATTGTGGCTAACTGACAATGTGCCGGCAGACCTCTTGGTTATGCCGTTGGATGCATGGCTAGGCTGATGAGCCAGATGTGGTGCCATACCTCATCCATGAGCTCCAATTAGCCCCTGCATGTTGTGCAAACCGTACGCAAAAACACTAGCAGGATTCTGGCCACTCTTGGTTGAAAGTCAGCTGGACAGGTCTGTAGGTTCAGAAGGCAATGAAACTGTAAATACCTAATGCTGAAGATAGACAGGATGGTAGAGATAGGGTGATCTACGTTACAGAAGACAGTCCTCTGTTTGATGAAATCCCGTTTCTTCTCTTTTTTCCTTTTCAAAGGCCATCCAGTACCTATCTGGTTTAAAGACAAAAAAAATCACAAGAAGGGAGAGGAAGAGAAGTCTTAGAGTTTCCTATAAATCGTTAGTACCTGAAGAGCAGAATGAACATACATATGCTTAGTCACATCCCTTCCAACATGGTAATACCATATGTACTGTACCTTTTTCTATTCAAATTAGAATAATTTCTGCTTAAAAGCATGTCTAGACATATAAATTGGCATCTTTACGTTTTTAACACAAATCCCTGCTGTTGTTCTTGAAATGGGAATTTCAGATTTTCTGCTCCTCTTTTTCCTGTTAGTTTTATATGCTCCATTAACGCAATTTTTGGACCCTGGTCTTGAATTTTATGATATATTTATATGATTTGATTAAACTCGTATTGCATAAAAATTCCTTGAGGTTCCATGCACAGGAATACGACTACAGGTAACAAAAGAGGCTCTCCACTGAATATAATTTTCCTCCCTTCAACTTCATGGGTGGAGTGAAGAAAACAGGAACTCTACTCTTTGGGCTGGATCTATAATTAAAAGACATTGATCTATAAAATATAATTAACTTGGGTCCAACCCACTGTAAGCAACTGTCTGGATCTGAAGATAATACAAGGTTCCAAGAAATTCTGAGATAGTATGCATGCCTCTTCCTGAATAATTAGGCAATTTCCTAGGCTTATTTTCACATAAATTATAGTGTCCCACAAGTTAGGGGCCAGCCATTCTATGTAAAATAGGCATAATAGAAATCTATCTGAGAAGGTGATACAGGAAATGACGATTGCAAAGGAATTTTGAAAAGCTATGATCTACGTAAACGACTACTAGCCGTTAATGTGACACTATGCTTTTAAGATGCAAATATTTGGTTTGCTGAACAAACCCACACAAAACTCTTTATCTACAAGGGAACCATCTCTTATTGGAGGCCCTGATGTGGAAGCAGGCCAATATGTAGTCTTTTGTGCTATACTTGAAGCCAGGGCAGGGATCCTGTTGCCCACCAAAAGTTGCTCAACTCAAAACCCCCATCGCCTTGGTCCAGAGGAGTATCATTCAGGCATTCCTGGAGCTGTAGCCCAGTGGTTCTTAACCTTGGGTTACTCAGGTGTTTTTGAACTGCAACTCCCAGAAACCCCGGGCAGCACAGCTGGTGGTGAAGGCTTCTGGGAGTTGCAGTCCAAAAACACCTGAGTAACCCAAGGTTAAGAACCGCTGTTGTAGCCCACACATTTACATCAAAATCAAACCTACTGAAATCCAGCAGGGCAAAATCCAAGGCTCTGAAAACATGCGCTGGGTAGTTTTCCTGATGTCCACAACACATCTGAGTTCTTCACTTAGGGAATGTCCTGGTGTTTGCAGGAGGGAGGGAGCTGCTCCCCTTTTGCACTTGTGCACTTAAAGATCTTTATCTGTGAACACTGTGACCTATGTGGGATGCTGGGCACGTTTCAGCCTTTTCCATGTTTGCTTGAACTTGCCTTAAATAGGTTTGAGGGTGCTTTCTGACCCCATTGGAATGCCAAAGTATTGAGATTGAGTCATAGGGTGAAGTGCAGTGTCATCTAGTCGATTCTGACCTTTTGTGACCCTTCTCGGGTTTGTAAAGTGCGTGAACATGAACTCCCATGAGTTTCTGTGGCTGAGTGGAGATTTGAACTCAGGTCTCCAGAGTCCTAATTTGACACTCTACCCACTATACTAGACTGCAGTCTTGTTCTTCCTAAGCCAAAGGAGAAATCCAGTGCCCTTCCTCCAAATCCTTGGGGCCAACTTACTGACAACCCAAATACATCACCTCTGCTTCTCAACATCATGGTTTACTGAAAACCAACGTGGGAACTCCCCCACCCCTTCTTAATAAATTAAACTGGCTGGCAAAACAAGTAACCCGCTTGGCATAAATCTGAAAGCTTGCTAGGATTTGTCCTTGCCATGTTTTCTTTTTTTTTTTTACATTTTTAAAAAACTGCATGGTATGCGGCAAACAACTAAAACTGTTTATAACTTTTCTGATGACAAATGTCTAATAATGCCTGCCATGTGGGTGTACTTCTGCAAGAGTACAACAATAAAACATGACTTGTAAAACTTCCTGTCCTTCCAGATAGGTTTGAAAGAGAGCTATCCTATATTCTGGTGGATTCAAAGCAATTTTGAGATTTGTGAATAAAATAGGGAGACACTGACAACTTGCTGCAGATTCTTGATCTCAGAGGCAGCAAGGTCGCCAGAAGCCTCTTCTCTCATCTTTTGTTTCCCCAGTATCCAGAAACATCAAGGGCTACCAGATTTTCTACTGGACACTGGAGAGTTTGCTACAATGATAGCAGTTTGAACCAGACCTTAAAAAGTTACTTTTTTTTTGGACTACGATTCCCAGAATCACCCACCCAAAATGCCACACCATGGAAAGTTTTTTTTAACCCTTCTCCCCCCAAGTAATATTTCCAATGAACAGTATCTGTTCTCAATCATCCCAGTGCAGGGCATGTAATAATGGGCTCAAGTTATAGGAAGTCAGATTTCCTGTTGAATATCAGGAAAAACATCTTAACTGTTAGAGCAGTACAACAATGGAACCAATTACACTGGGAGGTGGTGAGGGCTCCAATGCCGGAGGCATTCAAGAGAAGATTGGACAACCATTTTTCAGATCCATTTTGATTTGGATTCCTGCCTTGAGCAGGGGTTGGACTCAATGGCCTTGTAGACCCCTCCCAACTCAGTTATTCTATATACGGACAATGGTGAGAACCTCTTTTCTATGGGGCCGTTTCCTGTCTACTCTGCTTGCCTGGCTGCATCATCTCATTCCCTCAGATACAGTATCAGGCACAAAAGATGAGACCTACAGCTGGATCCTTACATGATGCCTGGCAGTGAGTTGTCCATCACAAAGGACAAAAATCTTTCACAACCATTGCAAAATGAGTGGGTCTGTGTGTAACAGACATGGAGATGGAACAATTAGTACAGAGGCCAAAGTAGTGCTTACCAAGGATCTCCTGAAATCAATCAGAAGAGATTTTTCAGACCTAAGGCTCCAGTGCACAGGAAGGAGATAAATGGAAAATGATGCTGTTTTCTGAACCACAGAAGGGATGAAAGGAAGAGTTGTCCAGAAGCAGCTAAGGAAGAGAGGTGCTTTTGCAAATCCTAGTTCCTGTTCTAAAAGACAGCCTGCCCATCATTGGTGGTTCTTCCAGAGGCCCTGATCCACAGCATTCCTAATGCTGAAGGAACTATCTATTAGGATAATTGCTCCAAGATAGTTGTGGGAAAAGCAAGATGAGAAACAGCAAGGTTCCTAATGAGTGAATTTCAGGAGCAGTAGCGCTGGAGCGCTAGAGCATGGTAATGAAGAAGTCCAGGATGCTTCTCAGCATGTCTAAATGACGGTAACTCTGAAGAATAAATCCTAAACACTAGGCTTGCCAGAGCAACAGCATCCTATCGCTTGACATTTTGGGGCCAAACCCAAATGGACTCTTAAAAACTAAGTCTAAAGGCCAAAGCTTGTGCCCCGGTTGCTAGGTATTACTCGGCTTTAATATTAAAGCCTTAGATTAGCTATGTTTTGAGAGGAGAAGAACTGAACTTCGGAAAATTCAAGGTAGCTATATTTAATAACCAGGGATGTTGGCAAGTCTTTGGACCTGAGTACCAAGGCTTGAGGCCAAGTCTTTGGTACAAAATCCCAAGTCCCAAGTCCAAGTCCCGATTAAAAACAAGCTTTTTTTTTCCCCAGAAAAAAAAAGGGAGGAGTGGGTGGGTTCTAAGTCATGAGTCAAGTTTGAGTTGTTGGGAGAAAAAAAAAACCCAAGTTGAGTACAAGTCAAGTCACTGGTGTGACTTGTCCAACTTGACAGTGAATCAGTTCGAGCCCCCATTCCTGACAGTAACTGAAATAT